AGAGATAATGCCCCTTACTTTCAACGACGAATGTTTTTGCACATATCGAATACTTTTTTTTAAGAATTATCCATTTAAAATCAATCCTTACTGTTAATGTGCGAACCAAAAAATGTCACAGCTAAAGCTCATAAAGTAAAAGCCATCCAATTTGCACTTCGGCGAAACTTGCATTTCCCGTCGAATACCCGTCCTTTAAAAAAATTGCAAAGTCAGGGAGTTAACACGAAGATATAAACAAGTTTTGACAAAGAAACGAAGAAATCGATTCATTCATTATTGTTATAGCAGAGTTTTGGATAAAGTATTTTCGATTTGAGTTATTCCTCGTGGCACATGTTGTAGGTCAAACTAAGCAAACAAAATAGATGTCTAGATCTGTGAGTGAATGCTCTGGCATTGGCAAAGCTCCCGCTCTGAACTGAATATACCCTCTCATTTTGACGAATATTTCGCATAAAATTTGATAGAGACAGACGCACGGATAAAAAAAAATTTGACATCGTATTTCTATAAAAAATGTATACCACTATGTGACATGCTTAAACTTATGCAACTGCGATGAGTAGTTCTTTAGGAAACTATGACGAAAATGTTACGGACAAACAGAAAGACGGGTTGACAGACAAACACGCAATGGTGAAATAGTTTACCTCTGCTCAATCCGAGATCGAGTATGTTGACAGACAAACACGCGATGGTGAAATAGTTAACCTCTGCTCAATCCGAGATCGAGTATCAAGTTCGAAACTTAGGGAATAACTATCTTGTAATTTGGTATTTGCGACCGTTAATGCTGATTTAACGGTCACAAACTGAGTTTTACCGGCGACGCAGAAAATTGAAAAATCTCGAATAACCCCGGCCCGGGTTTACTTACCTAATTTTACCAACACTCGTAGCGAACACCCTGCCACCTAGCTAGCATTATAATGCCGCACTAAATTCGGACAACTTGTATTCGTTTTCATTTAATATGCTTCATTGTTTGCGTGATTAAATTGACGTTTGTAATAGAGATAATCGTAATAATTTTTATAAGAAACTGTATCAATTTAAAAGAAAATAGAACGAATCTAAAAGAATAAAGCAACATAGAAGTAAGGACAAAACGAAGAATGATAAAATTTCAAAGTGAAATGTAACAAGCTAATTCAGAGAATTCGTGTCCCCCGCTTAGGGAAAAAGTCGGATCCCCCTGACTGAATTTGTAGAATTATTAAATGTATACATGTATACTGAAGCAAATAAAATACATGTATGTCAATATGCATATAAAGATTTGATTGCTTATTCTTTATGATTCTTTTTATATGGAATATTTATCACACTGTAATGATGATTTTATAACCTCATAAATTTTTCATTTCGCATGCTGAATACTATCATTTAGTAAAAAAAAAAAAAAAAAAAGAAAAGTATTTTAAAAAAAGAAAAAAAAAGAGGATCGACCGAGATTCGATCCCGGGACCTCTCACATGCGAAGCGAGAGACATACCACTAGACCACGGAGTCGCTTTAAATGATATCAAGTATATGCAGAACTGAAGTCACATACATGTATATATTCATGTTTTCATGTTCGGTATTCTCAAAATTTTACACAACCCATGGTGTTTGATTTATTTAGCCTATATTAAACAGTTCTAATAGATGTAATAAGAACATAAAGTCCGTTTTATACCTGTTTTATACGCAATAACTCTCCTCATGCCCCTGTGCTAAAAATAGCGACATGTAATACTATAAATACTAATAAAACAAACGGGGCAGGGCACTTTGAGAGGGGTGAGAGAGGTCCTAGGGAGTTTTGGTATAAAATTACATTGAATAAGCTCAAAATCTTCTTGAAATATCGCCCGGAAATGATAGTGTTACACACAGAGAGAATGTATAAATTTACGACCTTGAACTTTGACCTTTTGACCTCAAAATCAATAGGGGTCTTCATTAGGCCACAGGGAGTTGTTATGTAAAATTTCATTGCAATCGCTCAAATGGTTCTAGAGATATCGCGTGGAAACGAAAGTGTTATAACAGACAGAATTTGCTTATTTATGACCTTGACCTTTGACCTTTTGACCTCAAAATCAATAGGGTTCTTCTTTAGTCCATAGGGAGTTGCTGTGCTAAATTTCATTGCAAATGCTCAAAGGGTTCTCGAGATATCGTGTGGAAACGAAAGCGTTACAGACAGACAGAAAGACGGACGGACGGACGGACAAACCCAAATTAATATCCCCCACTTTTCAAGCGGGGGACAATAAAGACGAATATGAAAACAATAAAGTGACATATAGTTACGATAATAACAAAGAATAAAGAAGATGGCAGAATAAGAATAAAAACAAGATAAATAGACTTTTGGCGGTAATTCCCTTCCATATTTCTGGTACAGGGGTTCTTGAGAAGATTTTTCAAGTTTTTTCCTAAATATTTCAATGTAAAACTTGAATTCCCTATTCTGGTCCCGCTTATTTAGCATTTACAAGACCCCGAGATTCTTACACATTAGTTTCAGCTTTTGTAGTCCTGTGGTTCTTACGAAGATTATTTCAGTTTAAAACCTGGATTCCCCATTGTGGCCCCGCCCTACCCCCGGGGGTCATGATTTGAATAATTTAGAACCTACACTACCCCAGGATGCTTCCACACAACTGTCAGCTTTTCTGTTTTATTATTTGCATCATTTTCAGTGAAATTAGGTCAAAATTATATACCAATCCGGGCATCCATTTTTTGTTTGTATCATCTGTCCTTAAGAAGATAATTTCAATGTAAAACCTGGATTCCCCATTGTGGCCCCGCCCTATCCCCGGGGCCATGATTTGAACAATTTAAAACCTACACTACCCCAGGATGCTTCCACATAAGTTTCAGCTTTTTTGGTCCAGTGGATCTTGAGAAGATTTTAATAACCCCGCCTTATTTCTGTCTTTTCTGGTTTATCTCCCCTTGGAAGGGGACTTGGTCCTTCATTTTAACAATTTAACAAGTCCCCTCATCCAAGGGTGCATTGTACCAAGTTTGGGTAAAATTGGCCCCAGTGCTTGTTAAGAAGGAGTTGAAAATGTGAAAAGTTTTGTGACGAACGGTCGGACAAAGGGTGATCAGAAAAGCTCACTTGAGCTTTCAGCTCAGATTAGCAAAAAACTATATCAAGAATGATTTTTGTAGTACTATATATTCCAATCAAGCCGGTAGAGAAAAGTAATTTGGCACAAAATCCTGAATTGAATTTTAATGAAAAATCAATAAACATGCTTTTCGGCATAGAAGATGCGTTGAATGATCATTTTCTCACTAATTACTTTATTTCAATGCACTGAAGTACAAAATCACTTTACTACATGGCTTAAACGATTATAGCTTACTTCAGTTTGTACGACGTAAAAATTATTTTGCAAATGGAATTTATACAGACATACATAAAACTTAACACTTTTACACGATTTACGTTGTAAATAAAACCTAAAACGAGGGAACCACTGCACCTGAAAACTTTGAGCGTCGATTTTTTAAAAATTACGTTATAAATCGCTAAAATTAACGTTGATCGACAAACAAGCCCAATGAAAGCTTGCTTACAGCGTGCATATTTTTTAAGACTGTCACAGAATTATTTCATATATATTGTGCATTTTACGTGGGAAGAAAATTTGATGGTACAAGAAAAAGTATTGTGTCACTGTACACAGGGTCACTATCAACGCAGATTTTAACCCCTTGTTTCTTAGACTTTTACAGCAAACATTGGCTTCTTGTACATTGTAAGCTGTATACAGGCTTTTCATGGTACGATTGAAGGAAATGGATACAGCTTCACAACCATTCTCGGTAAATTATGACATCACGCACGAGTCAATGACTCTTTGTCATTGCCTTAATCCAAAGCCTGAAAATCTATCAACCGAAGAATAGATAAGCAGAATGTGCGATAATTCCAGAATATTTTTGTCTTCCTCAACATTTTAAGCATCAGGGACGGGAATTGTGTTTCTCCTAAAAAGCGTGATCGGCGCAGATTGTTGATGGTTGAGCATTAATAAAATTACAACTGTAACGTCAATTGATTCTCATAAAAAACAAAATTTGACTTTGTGGCAGCTAACTCCAAAAATATGGAGGAAATTAAGTTTTGGCATATTGTATATGCAGATACTGGAATATTACGAACTACATTTAGCGGAAATTCAAAGCCAGAAAACTGAAGAATTCATGCATGCTAATATAACGCAATAGTATCTCGAACGACTTTTTCATGTTAAGGGAGCTTGTGGGATTTAACTCTAAGAAAAATACAGGAAAATATGTTATCTGCTTTAAATTAATACGCTTACTTTCTGCAAAAACAGTAAATATATAATACCTCAGACATTAGTATAATCTTGAAATGTAAAGAATTTTGATGGACGAATTTTATTTTGCAGACGAGGCCATGTTTAGAGATAATTATTTCTAAAGATGTGCGTGTGTCCCATCAAAAACATTCAAGTCAACTGTCTTGCTGGGAATCAAATTTGATTACCTTTGATCTTTTGCGAATATATTCAAATACACTTGGGAAATCCAAGATCGTGGGTTCATAGATTTTATTATATTCTTCAGAGATATAAATTGCTTTTGGAGTTGTAATTGTTCTGTAGATGTCTTGGGAAGCTAAGTTAAACGATAAGAACAAGGTGTTAGTTAGCAATAATGACAAGATACACTGACTTTTGAATTGATTCAGAAGTACTGTGCTCTTATATAGTCGTAGAAATCGAATATTGAATTTTGTGGACGCCAGAAAGACTCGAGAGTTGTAATGGTCTGAAGGTGATTTAAATGAGTGACATCTCGGAAGTTTCGCTCATTATATTTCCGCTACGTTGTCCATCAGTACCACGTGCTGTCTCGAAGAGATAAAGCAAGTCACTAATCAATTTTTAACAAAACCAAGGATCGGCCATTATTTATTATCACGGACATAGAAGCATAACGTGATTTGTGGCTCCACCATGACTTCCACATTATCTTACTTTGTTTTGCAAAATACACCGCAAGGTCCAGGCGGAAATGCAAGTAATATCAGTGTAAAACATCTTTTCATTTTGAAACAACCAATGTATATGATTGCTATATATTCGATTGCCTACTGCGTTGTGTTTTTGTGTGCTCTTTTTGGAAACCTTTTGGTGGTAACAGTTGTGTTTAGATACAAGGCCATGCGGACAGTGACCAACTGCTTTATTGTTAACCTAGCCGTAGCGGATATTCTTGTTGCAGTTTTTAATCTTCCAATCACCTTGTTGTCAAATTTTTACTTAGGTAAGTTTAATTGTACCAAGCCGACATTCTTTTTTTGTAAAGCAACAGCACGAGGAAACAATTACGACTGTTAAAACAAATAAACTGTTTAAGTTTCATTAAGAAAAACAACTTGAAGCTGGAATGATATAACACTGAGTAATTTATTATACCCCCTTCGAAAGAAGGAAAAGCATATTGCTTTGCTGCTGTCGGTCGGTCTGTCTATCGGTCCACCATCAGTTTCCGTTCACCTTCCACGCAGAGGTTGCACATATTGCAACAATGAAATTTGGTATACGAATGTATCATAAGAATATCTAGGTATAAGGTCTCTTCCGAAGGATCGGTCTTCACGTCTCACAGTGGAGTTCCAGGGTTCGACATTAACGTTAGTCCGTTAGTCTCAGACTAATACATTTTCATTCGGACTAATAAAATTTGTGGCTATTTTAATTAACTTAGTCCAAACGGACTAATAAAGTTTTCTAATGAAAAAAAATAGAATTTACAGCTGTTCAATTCTCGACAACTTTCACTGGAAAACCTTGTAATGTATTTTTTAGCTTTCTAGCTTATTGGCGGGAAGATAAGTAATTCTGAGTCAACTTGGCGCTTAATTTTAGGACTCATTGGTATGCAAGTAAATCATGATTAAAGCCACTTAATCCGAAACAGGCACATATTATCTTACACAATAAAAGTACTTCACTACATAGAAAATATATAAAAATAGATAATAAGACTGATTTGATAGTTTATTACAACAATCCTTACGAGGAAAACATAGATCAAAAACCTTACTGACAAACAGAAGTTCCTGACGGGAAGTCAAGATCTGTCGTGGTCACCTTTGAAAAAAAATAAATTTATCGGTTATATCTAATTATGAAGAACAAACCAGAGTATTTTTTTTCATTGTCATAATATATCTGTTAAAATTAAGAAAGTAATTGAATATAAACCACAGTAATTTTATATTAATATGCACATTTAAAAGAATAAAGGAAAGTCAGATATTTTTTTAAAATTTTTTTTTAAAAGGAAGTTTAGTAACGAAGGCTAAAAAGTAAAATATTGTCCGAGTCAGGTACAAGTACTTTGTTGTGGAAAAAAAAAAATTCGGGTTTGTTCTTCATAATGAGATATATGCGATAAATGTAATTTTCACGCCATTGCAAATAGCGATATCATCATAGGATTATTTTTTGTGTGACCCAACAAAAATTATTTTTTTTAACTTTTGAATTTTAGTACCTTTTAAAAGAAAAAGACTTTGGGGATATAATTTGACATAAGTTGAAACAATTTATGGACAATTATTTTTCAAGATCGTGTGATTTCAACGAAACACTGTATAAAACATTTCATGTAAATGCTTTGTTTATTTAAAAAAAAAACCATTGCAATGCTAATTCTATTTATTTATTTATATTTTTCACGGACTCATAAAATTGCCCGCGGACTATTAAAAGTAAAGAAGCACTAGTCCGGCCAGACCAAAGCCTAAAAATGTAAGTGTCGAACCCGCGATGTAAGGATCACCTCGCTTCGCGAATCTAGAGCAGATGCTCTAACCACTGCGCCATGCGGGCGATTAATCATAAGAATATCTTTTTTCAAATTCTGTTTTTGGTACGATCAAGCCCATTTTGGATAGAGTTATGCCCCTTGGACTTAGAAAATTCAAATTATTTGCAGTGCCTGTTCATTTTCTTTGCAGAGCTTGCTTATATTGAAATGGAATTTGGTTTACATATTAAACAAAAGCTTAAGAATATGTTTTGGGTATGATCAACCATTTTGGATGGAGTTAGGCCCCTTGGACTTAGAAAAATTCCAATCATTTGGGGAGGGAGCATAAGTGTTTTACAAACAACTCTAGTTGATGTTACTTAGGCGGTCTAGAATTATGTCTTTGAGACAGATGAACAAAGACGTACGTGTTCCTTCTCCAAAATCAATGAAAACATATCCCATAACGTTTAAATGATGGCATAACGGAACACATATGATCATTATGTCTTAATATTTTAGATATTTGCATCATTTATTTGCACATTAAGTCAGTAACCGAATATTTTTTAAGCAAGTTCTTGATAATTTAAAGAAAGATTTTGGTGTAGAATGTCAGAATATCCTGGAAATTTCGTTTGGAATTCTTTTCTGGTTTGCCATCTGGAAGGCATGAAATATGGTGATCTAGTACAATTGTCCATGGCTATGGCAGCAAAGTTGTTTTCCATCGTTGGGCTTGGTTGGTCGAACATATCACTGGGGAACTTGCTAGCTGGAGAGGTTTGTGATCAGACCATTGCAAAATATATGCAGTGGCCCCAGGCGTTGTTATACCCTTAGGATTCAACCACCATTTATGACCGCGTAGTTTGGGCTCAAAAAATGTGTTGTTGTTGATCGGACAAGAGGGAACGTCGGCAGGGAAATGAGTGGCGCTGTGGCGGGAGTAGTAGAGCCGAATTCCTAGGTATCTTCCCAATGTTACATATAGAAGTCCAAAGTAAAGAGAAATATATGGTTTCGGATTTTATTAAAGATAAGTCCAAACGATGGAAATGAGCACTTTTATGAAACAACAATAAACAGTAACCAGTTGGACATGGCCATAGCCTCCAAACTGTTAAAAGTAGAAATAGAACATGAAGGGGAACGAGTCGGACGTGGCCAGTAGTACACCCAGCCTTCGAACTGAAATGTAAAGTTTGACGATGTTGCATGTATTTATAAGGAATTGAAGAATTAGTTTAAAATGACAGGTGTTGACAATGAGTAAAAGTAATGCATAACATTAATGTAATGCTTTGATAGTATGGACATAAAGAACACCGAAAAATAAATGAGTACATAATATTTCTATAAGGGATTAAACGGTCCTTGGGCATTAACACTCTGTCCCTCATTCAGTAATTAAAAAAAGGAACACTTTAATAACGTAATAACGATTTGTAAAATAAAAATTTTAAAACTAAATTATTTCATTAAATATCACATTGTAACAAAAATTAAATATAACATTGAGAGTCCAAAATGAATTATGAATAACACGGTGAATTTCATACGGTGATAGTTATAGCATTCCTGCTCCTATGTAAAATAAGTATGGTTAAACCTAGCTGCAGGAGCAGAGAGCTATAGATCCATGCGTTGTAAAAACCTTCGATTAACGGCGCCAATTTTTGTTGCTCACTCAGGTATTATTTCTATATTTTGTTTACCCAAGCTTTATAAATGATATTCGATAATTAACAATAATTTAACTCCTATTCCTAAATGTTTTTTTACCTTTCAACGGTTCATTTAGATCAAGAGGGACCGTTTGTGGAAGTGGACGTAAAAAATAGGAATCTTTTAAAACGACATTCCAAATCCAAAGAGGACTATTTCGGATCGTTGAAAAGTAAATAAAGTATCAATAATTGGAGTAAAATATAATATGATTAATTATCGCATACCATTGTAGGAGTGTAAAAAAGCATAAACTACGAGAAATATACCTGAAATGATGCGACAAAAAATCGGTTTTAACAACGCATGGATCTGTAGCTCTCTGCTTTATCTGTCCGAATTTTATCAAGCAGAGAGCTACAGTTCTGAAGCTAGGTTAAACTGTGCCGGAAAGTGATCTGATAGAATGATCAAGGCATTGACACGGAACGGGATTTTGGGCAAAAGGGAGGTCTTGTCAAAAGATGTATATATAGCACTCTGTTCAAAAATGTCTGCCAAAGCCAAAGGAAGAAGTTTTTGCTGACATTTTATGACAAAACAATAATAATTCCCTATACTTTGTATTTAAAGTGCACTAGCTGTGCCTTTCATTATGTGTTTCACCGTCAAGTGTTGGGGGAGCGTGGGGTATGTGAGCTAGCTCACTTTTTCTTTCATTTCTTTGGTCAAAAACTCCTTACTTCGCGACTAGAACAGACGCTCCAACCACATTGACTGCGCCACGCGGGCAACTAGGAAATATGTAGATATAATCCTGTAGACAATAAGTATGTTCTATTGGTATTTCTAAAAAAAAATACCTTGTGCTGAAAATGGTCATATCAATGTCAAATCAATTAATATATAATGCAACGTTAACTTTCAAGGTACAAGCACTTACCACAGAACAAACCATTCCTTGAAAGGCCATGTTATACAAGTATCTTTGACTCGTTGCCCTTTCTCCCTAGCCTAGTGATTTTTCTCTCTCACGAGAAAATTCCTATTTGGATGTAAGTGACTTCAACTCTTCCTTCTTGTAAGGGTATTGTCCAATTGATAAGTGGAAAGATTTTCGTATGGCTCACTGCTGTTTTAGCTTATGCGATAGTAGTACGTCTGTCCGTCTGTCTGTCTTAACAATTTTTCAAAATGCTCCTCCTCTAACAGTTTTGGTCTGATTTCAAGGTAACTTTGCACACAAGTAGACTATACTAAGATACATAATTCTGTATATTGGTTTTGATCTGAGACTGTATATACTGATGTCCCGTGTTGGCACGAAACAAATCTCTCCCTGCTCAATGGTCCTGAGTGCCGAGTAGAGGACAAAATTTGCAGCTCTCCACCGGCAAGTGGTGGCGTCTCCATATGAGTGAAAAATTCTCGAGTGCAACGTTAAACAACATACAATCAATCAATCATGAATTTATGTGCTGAAACTTTTTCCTATACGTTTGCTAGCTGACAGGAAGAAGCTCCTTTCGATTTGTTTTCATCAATGTTTGAAAATTTTGGTCACTTGATTTTGGATTCAACTGCTTTTATTTTTTGTCCTTGGAGCTAATGACTCGCTGTACACGTATATCAAGACTGACCCGGCTTTTTCGAGATCATTTACGTTGTTTAAAGCGTCTTCTTCCGAAGATATGTTAGAACAAGTTTCTTGTGCTAGTCAAACACTTCTCATAGACTCGTACCTCGTAACTTAATACTCAAGTTCCATTGGATAACGTTTCTGAATCTTATTTGCATATCTTATTATACCCCTTCTCCGAAGGAGAGGGGGTATACTGTTTTACTCTTGTGTGTCTGTACCTAATTTAATTTCGTATCAGTTTTCTCAGCACCTATTCGTCGCAGATGCTTGAATTTTTTAACACATTACCACAATCTTATCTGATATATGTCATATGGTTGGATTCATTTTTGTCCAAATCCTACGTCAACCATCTGTTTATCCGTGCGTTTGTCTATACCATACATAACAATAATTGTTACAGTTTTCTCATCAACTTCTCATCGCAGATGCTTGAAATTTTATCACACTCTTTGTTGAGGCATATCATATGGTGGGATTCATTTTTGTTTGAATCCATTGTCAACTTCCTGTTTATCCGTGCGTCTGTCCGTTTCATACATTATTAACAAAATTTCGTCGCAGTTTTTTCAGCAACTATTCATCGCAGATGCTTGAAATTTTAACACAATCTTCTCTGATGCATGCAATATGATGGGATTAATTTTTGTTCAAATCCATTTTGAACTTCCTGTTTATCCGTACGTCAGTCTGTACCATACATAACAAATTTTCATAGTATTTTTATCAGCATCTACTCATCCAAGATGCTTAAATTTTTAGCACATTCTTTTGTGAGGCATGACATATGATGGGATTCAATTTTGTTCAAATGTGAAGTCAACTTGTTTATCTAAGCATCTGTCCGTAACATACATCATAAATTTTTGTCACAGATTTCTCAACAAATGAGGATTAGTTTTGAAAATTAATAAACTTTCATACCTTAAGGGAACTTCATAGAAATCAAGACAATAAATATGACATTCATCATACACGATTCAGTTATAGGGATATCTGATAAAGATATATAAATGGCGGGAATTTTTATTAGAGATTCCCATTTTAAGGTGAAAGTTGGAAAATTGTAACTGTATTTACGTATTTATGTGTAATTTATTGATATGATTTTCATTTACAAAATCACAAAATGTGTTATATTACACCAGCAATAATATGCATAAAACAAACCACGTGTTAAATATCTATTTTCACACGAGAATTCTCTTTAAAACACTCATAACACCCATACATATCCATGATACTAGTAACAGGTACATGTATTTCAGGTCTAAGCCTTGTGGGTTTTCGAAAAGACTGCATAACGAAATTACATGTTTCACTTTTCTTTAAGGTTGGCCATTTGGTCCTGTTTTGTGCAAAGTGACGCCATACCTCCAAGGTGTCTCTGTATGCGCGTCCGTAAATACCCTGGCAGTCATCGCAGTAGACAGGTAACGTCACTCCGCACCCTGATAAACATGCAAGCTGATCAAGACACACCAAATATCAAGAGCTTTGATACATAATCATTCAAACGGAATACTCCAAATTTTATTTACAGACAGCTTGCATGATATTAGTCATATCTAAGCGACGCAATTCTACGACAAATATTAATTTATTTCATTTTACAGATTTGTCAAAGTCAATCAACTTATTACATCCATAATTCATGATGTTACACCCATAATTCATTTCTTTGTTCTTTTTCCAGATATTTTGCAATCTGTTCACCGTTGAAATACAAACTTGATTCTACAAAACTACGGAAAATTATTATTTGTATCTGGATGACTTCTTGCATAATTATCATTCCATGGGCCGTATTTTACATTGAAGAGGAATATAAATACACAGAAGGAATCATGCTCAATATATGCTATGAAAAATGGCCAAGCGAGATGGCAAGAAATGGTTACTTTTTAGGCGTGATTTTCCTGTGTTGTTATACCATTCCTTTGATACTAATATGCATATGCTACCTAGGAATTTGCGTTAGGGTTTGGAATAGGGAACAACTAGGTGCCAACAGAACAGGGAACAACGTTATTCAAAGATCGAAAGTTAAAGTTGTCAAAATGCTGGCGGTAGTGGTTTTCTCGTTTGCCTTCTCCTGGTTACCTTTATACATAGTAAATATGATCATTTCATTCCATGACACAAATAACAACTTTCTGCACGATACTATCATTCCGTTTGCCCAGTGGTTGGGGTCATCTAATTCCGGCATGAATCCAATTATTTACTGCTTTTTCAGCAGAAAATTTAGAAACGGCTTCCGAAAACTGTTGTGTCCTGCAAGACCTAGTTCAAATACATATAATTTCCGGCGAACTAATACCCCTAAAGGAGGCATACTGTCGGAATCTTCTGGTAACAAACGTTCATATACATTTGTATAAAGACATTTTTCCACTAACCAGCACTTTTGTGAAGAAAACAATTACGATATTGGTAACATTGGAAATTACAACTAGATGCTGTCATGAGACAGTAATACCCGCACTATGGTGTTTGCCTCTAAATATACACTCATTCATATTGGACTTTCCAAGGAAGAAGTCAAAATAATTCTATAATTATCACCGTACATGTATTCGTTAAATTGAACATAAAATTTTCAGATGACCATATCAACTCTGAGCCTCACATATGTATTTTAAAATACTTAATTCATAACCAGTCTGAAATAACAGAATTTAATTAATGATTGAAGTAAATTACTTAATTAGATTCAAATAAATAATTTCCCCATAATTTGGAACTTTTTAAATTTACTTTCTCAACGACATAAAATATTATTTTAGTACAAAGCGTTTTTGATGAATTTATCAAAATGTGCAAACTGATTTAAGTATTTGGTCGGGAAAAAAACCCATTGAAAATACAACCCGATTAATTTGTCAATGCCTATCTCCCCCCCCCCCCCCACACACACACACACACTCTCTCTCACTCTCACATTGTTTAAAAAACATAGTTTAGTTTATTATGATAGTTTGAAATTTGTTCTTGTACTAAACAGTTTTATTTTCTACATTCACATTGGGTTTGCGTCACCCATTATCATATTTATAGATATCACCTCTCGGCACACCTCGGCCAATTCATACTGGCAAAGGAATCAGCAAAGGTTTGTCGAATGAGATTATTTAGCACATGTATGCTGACGATGCAGTGTGGTCAGTTAAAATCATTTGTGTTTTAATTGGATTATATGGATTATATTTCATGAATTCGTTGTCACGACCTATGACATTCGGTAAGTACAAGATTTAGCATATAGATTGCATAAAAATAAATAAATGCAAATGGTTAGGTTGAAGTTCAAAAAGGGTCAACAATCAACATGGTCAAAGATCATCGCATGCCACAGTCGACAAATTTCACATTGTCAAGTTATCTCCCGTTGCGGACATTCAGTATATAACAGACGCAGATCCAGAATTTTTTTTTCAGAAAGGGGGGGGGGGGTCACACCTCAGTCAAAAAAATCAGCCCAAGATTTCCTGAGATGGAAATAAAAAATAATAATAAAAACAATGATGGTGGAGTCCCTGTTTTCTAAGGGGGAGGATGTCCAAAGTCATTTTTATTCTCTACAGTACATATATAGTCTTATTTAAATAACTGCTAATTCCAGGGGGGGGTCTGATCTCCCTAGCCACTGACTCCTTGTACCTGAAATGACAATTGATCTTATGACTCCATAATAGTAGAAAATTTTTTCAATTGACTATTTATACATATTTTGTTTCCTATGTTTATGTATTTTCGTCTGTCCACGGAAACTTTAACCTTGCCCATATTTTTTAAGTGGATTGGGCTATACACATGGCTTGAATATTTCATAGGTAAATTTCTTTTGGCAAAACCTTTTAATGGGTTCCACCAATTTTGACCTCTTGATCTCTTGACCTTGGATTTTGACCCAATTTTACAAGAAAAATACCTTGAACTTGGCGTAAGTTTTGAACAGGTGGTGCTAGGACTTTCATGCTCTTACATGTGTAATCATTGTGAACTTTCAACAGGTATAATTATTTTTGACCTAGACCTTAGAGTTGAATCCAATTTAACTTTAACCTTGGCAATAACTTTTGAACAGGTGAGGAAGTTCTAGGGATTTCTCCCTTTTTTCACATGTGTATTCCTTGTGACAAGACTTTCCCTTTGATACCAACAATTTAGACCCTTTGACCTTGACCTTGGAGTTTGACTTACATTTGAGAAACTTCAACCTTTGCCAAAAGCTGCCATAACAGTTGCTGTCACAACAAACAAACAAATTACTAAAAAAAAACACAGAATACATGTACATATTTTATATTCAACAGATATACATCTGGTCATATCTCTAGTTCTCCCTTGAATGAGACATGGTGATATAAATTTTAAAAAATAATTATAAGAGTTGAAAAGGTTGTGCATATTGAAATATACTAAGCTCTGCGGATGAATTAGATATACCAGTTTAGCTTTATTTTGCTACCAAAGCACCTTGATTAACTATTTATAAGCATACTGTTTTCTGAAATGTACTGATTTCTGTTGTCCATCTGTTTATCTGCAAACTTTTCACATTAACTTCTTAAGAACCACTAGGCTAATTTCAACCAATTTACATTTAAATATGCAGGGTACTTTTTAAGCGCCCGGATCGATAGATCCCGGGCGTATATTGTTTTTGTCCTGTCTGTTTGTCTGTTTATCTGTTTGTCTGTTTGTCAACTTTAACCTTGGCCATAACTTTTGAACAATAAGGGATAGAGACTTCATATTTGGTAAGCATACTCCACTAATAAAAACCTTTCAAATGACTTCAAGGTCAATGACCTTGTGACCTTGACTAAGACTTATATGCTAAAAATAGCTTTTTACACTTTTTGCCATAACTTTTGAACCATCAGAGATAAGGACTTCATATTTGGTATGCATACTCCACCGATTAAGTTCTTTCAAATGACACCATGGTCAATGACTTTGTGACCTTGACTGTGACCTATATTCTAAAAATAGCTTTTTCCACTTTGTCATAACTTTTGAACCATAGGAGATAGGGACTTCATATTTGGTATGCATACTCCACCGATAAAGTCCTTTCAAACGACGGCAAGGTCAATGATCTTGTGACCTTGACTGTGACGGATATGCTAAAAATAGCTCTTTACACTTTTTGCCACAACTTTTGAACCATGGGAGATAGGGACTTCATATTTAGTACGCATACTCCACTGATTAAGTTCTTTCGAATGACACTATGGTCAATGACCTTGTGACCTTGACTGTGATCAATATGCTAAAAGAAGATTTTTTTAACTTTGTTGCCGCCGGGCGCGTAGTGTTTCACAAACACATCTTGTTCCAACATAAATCTTCTTCTCAAGAACCTCAAAGACATTTATTGTCCCCATTTTTGCTAAAGGTAGGGTACATTAAATCTCATTTGTTTGTCAATCTGCCTATCTGTCACAATAAATTTAACCTTGGTCATCATGGTCGTATATTTTGAATGAGAAGAGATAGGACTTTTATATTAAATATTTGTATTAGTATTAAATGGGACAATACCATTCTACATACAATATGATTTTCATTACCCATGATCTTGAAGTTTGACCTAATTTCCTTAAAAAAATTAATTGCTTTGAATTGATCATTTTGAAAGATAAATGAAAGGGCATTCATATTACCTGTGATAAGACCTTCCAAAATGTATCATGACTTTTTGACTCTGTGACCTTGACCTTGAAGTTTAACTTAGTTTTCATTAATGTTGTATTTCCTTTTCATTGAGAAGAGATTTGACCTTCACATTTCAAGTGAACATTACCCATAACAAGAGGCTCCCCACATGCTATGATTTTTTACCCCTTGACCTTGATGTTTTAACAAAATTTCAAAAGAGTGAACTCTCCCAAAAGATGATAAGACCACTGTTTAAAACAAAAAAGGAGTTTAGGGAAGACTGGGCTTTTTCCATAAAAAACTTCATTTTTCAACCCTCATTTGACCCCCCGGGCAAAATCAAAATTCCGAAACCTAACTGCACATCTACATGACCCAACCAACCATCTCCCAAAGATGATTAGGATGCTGAATAAAATGTAAGAGGAGTTCAGGGAAGATGGGGCTTTTTCCATAAAAAACATCACATTTTTCGACCCTTATTTGACCCCCCAGGGCAAAATCAAAATTCCAAAACCTTACTGCACATCTACATGACCCCACCAACAATCTCCCAAAAGCTGGTTAGGCTACTGAGTAAAATGTAGAAGGAGTTCAGGGAAGGCGGGGCTTTTTGGACAAAAAACGTCATTTTTCGACCCCCATTTGACCCCCTGGGGCAAAATCGAAATTCCAAAACCTTACTGCACATCTACATGACCCCACCAACCATCTCCCAAAAGCTGGTTAAGCTACTGAGTAAAATGTAAGAGGAGTTCAGGGAAGACGGAGCTTTTTGCTTAAAAAACGTCGTTTTTCCACCCCCATTTGACCCCCTGGGGCAAAATCAAAATTCCGAAAGCTTACTGCACATCTACATGACCCCACCAACCATCTACCAAAAGATGATTAGGCTACTGAGTAAAATGTAAGAGGAGTTCAGGGAAGACGGAGCTTTTTGCTTAAAAAACGTCATTTTTCGACCCCCATTTGACCCCCTGGGGCAAAATCAAAATTCCAAAAGCTTACTGCACATCTACATGACCCCATCAACCATCTCCCAAAAGCTGGTTAGGCTACTGAATAAAATGTAGAAGGAGTTCAGGGAAGACGGGGCTTTTTGGACAAAAAACGTCATTTTTCGACCCCCATTTGACCCCCTGAGGCAAAATCAAAATTCCGAAAGCTTACTGCACATCTACATGACCCCACAAACCATCTCCCAAAAGATGATTAAGCTACTGTGTAAAATGTAGGAGGAGTTCAGGGAAGAAAAGTGTGACAGACGGACGGACGGACGGACGGACGGACATGAGTAACAACAATATACCCGAACTTTCTTTAGAAAGTGCGGGTATAAAAACATTTCCCTATTCTTGCACTCCTCCAGATATTGAACCATTATGCAGTAATTGATTATTTCTATCCAAAGTGCGAGTTAATCTTGATAAAGGTGTCAAACACAGAATATAAATAATGCACTGGATACACGCGTGAGATTGGGCATAATTTATACATTTGTATGAAACAGTGGTTTGTCACAGATTGAAACAGCTTAATGATTTTTTTTCTTTTTCATGTAATATGAAAAATTAGTTCAACAAATTTACTTTCGAATTGCTTGCATTTTGATAAACCTAATTACTACAACCTTTCACCTCACTTACTTATGCAGCAATATATCCTTATCATCTACATACAATTTTATAACTCCCATTTGATTTGATACGCAAGAGCATGTTCTACGTATGAACAATTTCTAA